GTTTCATCGACAACCTAGTATGACTAGCAGTCATGAGAACCCTGTCTCAATGACTATTCGCGAAGGACTACATCATGAGTCGAACTCAAACCCTATCTAGGATCGAGTCGCGAATAAGGCTAAGAGCCGTGTATTGCAAAGTCGATGAGTTTGAGTTCGAAGTGCAAATGAATCCACATGTTATTATCGAATTTAGTTGGACCAACAAATTGACGGATGAAATTTTGCCAAGTTTAAGAATCAAATGGCAGAGCACGTGGAATCATTGGGAACGGTTAATGTTGGGTTTCTCATCAAGGCAGTCCCAACCAGAGGAACGGCTTTGCCAACCAAGATAAAGTGGGAAATTCCTATTTGTGGCTTTGATGTTTACGAAATTCGTGACATGGGTTCCCAGGTTCTAGAAACAGAGCCCTCCTTGGAATACCGCGTTGGGGTCAACGATGATGAAACCATTACCATTACAGACAAGGACTTGGGTCGCAGTTCGGAGTCTTTGAAGGTCCATCACTTAACACTTGCTCTCTTTAAGCGTGTTCTTGAACAACACAAGCCATGCAAGGTAATGTTTCAAAAGCAGGAAGAATGAAAGATCATTGCATTCTAGTCAGGCAGGCCTAGCATCAATTAAAGATCGGCACTTTACTGGAGCGTGCCTCAGCGGGTGCGAATGGGGAACCCGGGATTTAAGGTAGGATTTGCCGTAGGGCAGAGTTGAAACTCTGCCCTGATTATAGGGTAGAGTTTTGAAATCATGCCCTAAATTTGGGTAGGGTTTCAAACCCTACCCAAATTTAGGGCAGAGTTTGAAACTTAGGGCAGAGTTTTGAAACTCTGCCCTAAATCGAAACGGGACGCCTGCCCTAATTATAGAGTAGAGTTTTGAAACCATGCCATAATTTAGGGTAGAGTGTGAAACCTTACCCTAATTTGGGGCAGAGTTTGAAACTTAGGGCTGCCTTAAACACTGCCACAGGCATGATTGAGCAACGCTCCAGTGTAAATATCGTGTGGACAAACGTTTGAAGGGGCCAGCGATTGCCAAACCGACTGCAAGAGAAACGCCATCGTCGTGGAAGACTAGGCGCAAAAGGTGAGTGTGAGGCACAACACGCCTGTCTGGTACCGTGCATTTTTCAGCGCTTCTCCTCCTGGCATCATTTCTTGCAACAATGACTAGAAAGCTTTCGACACCTCCCCAAAAAATGCTTAGTGGACGTGCTATTATGGTTCGAAAGCTAATTTTTTCTTCTACACATTCATATATAACACTAAATATGTTTTTGAAGTTCGAGGTAGCTAGTGAACCTGGTAATAAGTCGCTATTTTGTGAGTTCCAGTGAGTAAGAACCATCTGAGATAGGTAATAAAAGTATGGGGTATTGCTGAGATCAGCAAGACATAAACAACTTAGTTTTACGTTTTACAAGAGACTTAGAAAAAATCATCGCCAAAATCTCTACTTCAGGGTATTTTTATATGATATTCATTTTGGATACGCCCGTCGCGTTTTTACTTATGGGGCCAGTTTCCTTGTTGCAAGAAAAGTTGCCAGGAGGAGTACTACGGCTACTAAAAGAAGTGTCCCCTTGCAGCAAGACTGCTTTCTGTAACAATAGAAAATGGGGTGCACAGGTAGACTCCAGTAGAAATGCTATGACAGTTTCTGTGAAGTTTCTGTGACATGCAAATCGTGAGCTCGTGACTCAATTTGGGTCTTTAAATAAAATGTCATTGAATCATGCACAATTCCTGGTTTCTAATGTCCTTCCTCCATTTTACTTAGAGTTCGTGCACTGATTTCTGTGACAAGAAAATCTTCTTCTCATCGCACAGAAATCAGTCTCGCTGCACAGGGACAATTGTTTTAGTAGCCATAGTACACACTTTTAAGCATAAGAAATTGCTGTAATTGGGGTGATTTCTGTGGGACTGGAAGTCTTACCGTCGAACTCCGGTCGCCAACCCGTGATGTTTATTTAGTTAGTCTTTGTTTGCTCTGTCTTCTTCATTACAAATTCAAAATCATACGCTTTGGTCTCGTAGCTATCGCCGTTCTGCGTTGGCCCCCAAGAAACTTGAACAAGGCAAAAGAAAGGTCAACTTTCACATTTCACCTCACCTCTGGTCCCCCGTCCCTGAGTTCAGATCTCCTTTTTCCTATAGTAATTTAGTAAGCAGGTGCAATACACGGCTCTTAGCCTTATTCGCGACTCGATCCTAGATAGGGTTTGAGTTCGACTCAT